AAACCCACCAGCCACTCCTCGGAAGGAAGATGGGGCAATCTACTTCCATAGTGATACTGCCTCAGAAACCCAAGGAGGGGTCACTATGAGTTGGGTCTGACTCGAAGGCACATAACAACAACAACAACATTTTGCTGTTACCTTCTATGAGTTGGAGACCCTGGTGGGACAAATGGTTAACTCAAAGGGGGGAGGTTCAAATCTACCCAGACCTCCAAGGAAGAATATACTACAGATTAAAAAAATCCACCATAGAAAACACTGTGAACCACATTCTTGTCGGACACACTTCAGATCACCGAGAATCAGAATCAACATGATGGCAAACCTTTTATTTTTGTTTGAATCAGAGTTATTATTATCTATTGATCAATTATTGGAAAGGAAAATATATTTGGGAAATGTTAACATTCAGCCATGCTGTATTGCTCTCATTTTGTTTGTTGTTGTTGTTAAGTGATGTCAAGTTGTTTCCCACTCATAGCGACCCCATGCACAGCAGAATGAAACTCTGCCCAATCCCACACCAGATCCATGATCCTTGCTATATTTGAGCCCATTGTAACAACCACCATGTCAATCCACCTCGCCAAGATCTTCCCCTACTTCGTCGACCCTCCACTTTACCAAGCATGATATTCTTCTCCAGGGAATGGTCCCCTCTGACAACATGACCAAAGTAGGTGAGACGAAGGCTGGCCATCCTCCCTTCCAAGGAGCATCTTGGCTACACTTCCTCCAGGACAGATCTGTTAGTTCTTTTGGCAGTTCATGGTACCTTCAACATTCTTTGCCAGCACCACAACTTAAAAGCATCAACTCTTCTTCGGTCTTCCTTATTCATTGTCCAGCTCTCACATGCATAGGAGGTGACTGGAAATATCATGGCTTTTGTCAGGCACACCTTAGTCCTCAAGGAGATATCCTTGCTCCTCAGCACTTGAAAGAGTTCTTTCCCAGCTGACCTTTCCAGTGCTACACGTCGTCAAATATCCTGACTGCTGCTTCCATTGGCCTCAATTGTAGAACCAACCAACTTGAATTCTTTGACAACCTCAATCTTCTCTCCATTTATTGTGATGCTGCTTATTGGTCCAGTTGTGAGGATCTTTGTCTTCTTTATATTGAGATGTAAACCATACTGAAGAATGTGTTCCTTAATCTTCATCAGTAAGTGCCTCAAGTCATACTCACTTTCAGCAAGCAAAGTTGTACCATAAGCATATCTAAGGTTGTTAATAATTCTTTCTCCAATCCTGATGCCACATTTTTCTTCATATAGTCCAGCTTCCTGGATTATTTGCTCAGCATATAGATTGAATAAGCGTGAGGAAAGGATACAACGCTGATGTACTCTCTTCCTGATTTTAAACCATGCAGTG